CAAGATGTCTTAATTCTTGAAATCTTGTAGCAATTGTGTCTCTAATTTTGACTGTGGTCGTAGAAATATATTCAGCGTTACTGTTTCGAAGTTTATTTAAACAAAATTTATGAAATTTAATCTCAATTAACAAAAAAAAAAAAAGTGGTGACAGTTACACCAAAGCTCCAGGTTGCATTTGAACGCTCATAATTTTCAAGGAGAATTTTTTTTTTCAATATAGTGACGATCAATATTATCACCTCGTTTCAGCTTGACGTTGAGTTCTCGAACACGCTATATATGAATTTTTGCATTTTTGAGAATAATTGATAGTTTCAAAAATATATTTTCTAGTTGCCAAGCAATTTAAACGGTAAAAATTTCTTGCTAAAAGTACTTAAATTTATAATAATAATGTTCTTTAATATAATCAAATATATTTTGAAAAATCTTGCTACTAAATTTTGAAATCCGAATAGAGAGGAAACAATAGCAAATTTATATATTTGTTGTGTTAACTTATTATCCATCAAAATAATTATATAAACTTATATTCATAACTCCCTATAGGAGGGTAAAAGAACGTCGTCTGTTGAGCGATCAAGCGCTGTACAAACGTCAGATAGCACGTCACACAGCGCTACGAAAATCGAGTGAAAATGCGATCCGAGCTTCCTCAGAGTTCTTCCAGCACCGAATTCGACACGACACCAAATAAGGAATGATGGGGTTTGCCAATTTATCCCGAGCCAGAAGAGTATGAAGACGAAGACGAGATTCTGTAGGAACTCTTTCGACTTCAACAGATGATTTGATAGTTGACCAACCAGTAGTGGTGGAACAGAAAAAACCAGCCAAGAAGGCAAAAAGGGCGCGAAGAAGGAAGCCGATGACAAAAAGGCAAAAAAGGAAAGGGAAAGAAAAGAAATAGGATATAATAATATGATGATAATAATAATATAATTAGAAGACGATAAACATTTTGTATATTTTATATGCAAAAGCACAAAAATCAACTCTGTTGTTATCGATGAAGTTGTGCTGATTTCAGAAGTACAAATACAATTAAAAGTAATTCAAATTCATAGTAGTAGCTTATTCACAATTCTAAATTGAATCGTGCCCGTAGTATTTACTTTCACAAAAACAATACTTTAACTTTATATTCGAACACATATATAATAAATACTTTAAAACGCTTACCTTGGTCATTTGTAGGATTTGTTTGATTTTCTTCGAAAGCCTTCTCACTCCATTTCTTCTTCCCGACCAAGCTGCAGTTTTTCCCTTTACTAATATGTAAAATTGTCATTGGTATAGTGTCAAGCAATATGTTATTGATCTATATTTAATCTAGATACTTACGCCTGAGGGTCATGTTCATAATTGTTTTCTAGAGCATAAGAATCTTTCACTGATTTCCAGAATAAAAGTTCTGCAAAAACTTTATTGTTAGTCGCAGCAACTCGCGTAAACTGACGCACAATATAAATAGCCAATTTTCGTAACTCCTAAAAATAATGAGTTAAGGATTAGATTATACTTATTTTTTAGTAAAAGTTTAGGACATTATTTTTTCTTATTTTATATTAGTATTCCAAATATAAACTAGCAAATTAACAAATAAATTATGATTAGGATATTAAAATAAGATATATATAAAAAGCAGTATTGGCGAAAGAAAAAAAAAACGAATAAAAAAAGTGAAATCGATTTGGTTTGAGATAAATAATACTGATAATATTATTGGTATTATAAGAACTTGAACTTCCAGAAACTTTATAAATTATGAAAAGAATAACTACCTACTTACCGAATTTGAATGAAATATATGAGCTTATACATAATGAGATTTCAGGTAATTCCGAACAAATAACTAATTTATCTTTGTACCTCATGCACAGTTCCAGTCGGTGCATTTAAAGCAGCTTGAAAAACTCGAAACAATGAAGCTTGAAATAGCATTCCTGGACATTTACAAGACCAGGCGATGCGATGTAGTAAGCTACACGCCGCCACCACTGCTCTCGAGGGTAAACTGCCATCTGTCGCCTTTTGTAACAACATCGTACAGGCGCGCACCACTTTCGGATTGCAAAGTCTGTCGAAAGGTGACTCAGTTAGTACTATTTTGAACATTTTCTATAGTAATAGATTTGTCAGAAATATTACTTTATATAGAATAATTTGTATATATGTAGAAAAGAAACTAAACTAAAAGCAATAAAACTTAACTTGTTACAAAAAATAATCCAGAATCATTAATATACTATATTCATACATAGCCTCAAATGTTGTAATCCTAGACATAAAAACATATTTTTATCGATTTTTGCGGTGCAAATATTTCTACGTCAAATAAATCAAATATCAACTAATGTCGAAACACTATATACTTACAATTTGTATTTCTAGACCCTAAACAAAGATCTGTAATTTAAAAGTTAATTTATGCCAATATAATTTTATTGATGGCTTTATATATTTAATTAATAGCTAAATTTCTGAGGAGAATAAAAAATAGTATTATGAAAGATTTTGCGCTTTATATAGATTAAAATAGACACATTATTTCAACTTTTCACATACCTGAACACAAAATGAATCTTAATAAAAACAAATAAATATTTACCTTGTTTCATAATCACTGAATTTAAATTGAACTTCAAAAGTTTGTGGTTCATCTGAAAATAGAACAGTACAATCATAATTAAGGTTTTACATAATATAATATAATTCACATAATATAAGTGAACATAATAAAAAACGACTGCGAATACTACTTTATAAAAATAGTTTTAGTTTTATTAAATGGAAAACAGAGCAGCAATCTTTGTTTCAACAACTCGTTTTTAATTATGCGATAAAGTATATAAATGCTACTTTATATAAAATGTAAAATTTTGAGTAAATATAAAGGTGTCAATCGATTTATATAATACAAATTAATAATTTTTTATAATATATTTTGTAATATATATAATAATAATTTTACCTTCTTCCTCGTTTGAATGTTCCTCATCATCATCTTCTTCTTCTTCTTCCTGCTGCAACACAGGCTCTTCAACAAAAAATTCATATATCATATATCATATATCATTTTTAAAAGTAAAATAAAAATAATGATTGAAAAATATAGAAAATTGCTCATAACAAACAATAATATATTTGCAAAACATGATTTATGATGAGACGCCACATTATGGTTGGCTTTTTATAAAGATAGCAATGTCTGGAATTTAAGCGAAATACACATTTCATAAAGTAAAATAAAAAAAATCAATAATAATGATAATGGGGTGTAATGTTTCGACTCACAAGATATTTCCCGTGCAATAAGTCTCTCGACGTGTATGCAAATATAAAAAGACGTAATATAAGTATCATAATAGGAAAAATTCCTTATAAACATGGTGATTGCATCTGGCTTTCGTCATATACGCCTAAGCATGTATGAATAAAATAGAATTCCTCTGTTTTCCCGTATAGAAGCCATTGGCTTCATAACACGAGCGAAACCGACTCTAACAAATTAGATTACAACAGACAGAAATGGTTATAATCTTCTGTAGTCTAGATGCACGATACGTATGCTCCAGTACAATGGAAAATGAAAGAAATTGCACGAGATTTCAGAATATTATCAAGATGAATGAGTTTAATAAAACAAATAGTAATGAACAAACCTATAAGTAAAATCATGTTGTAATTGAAAAGCATAATTAACTAACTTAGATTCTCTAAGATATTTGGGAGAGAGAGATTCATGATTATCCTAGGCTAATTAAATACTAGTGGTGTATGGTATCGTGCCTTAAGGCAAATTTCTGGAACGGTACTGTACTCTTTAGCGACAATGAGTATTGATGCTGAGGGCACCATAACTTCCCGTACCAAAAATTTATTTATTTAAAAGAGATTTTATTTGAACTTTGAAAAAAATAGTTTCTTGAGTAATTTTAAATTTTTGAAAAAAACTGAATTTTTGGAAAAAAAAACTTGGAAAAATGATTTTTTTATTTTAAAATATCTTGGAAATCTTGAATTTTTTTTTAAAGCAATCGCACTGCTGTAGCTGCATAGAGACAAAATATCGAAGCGGGTAAGCGCCGTGTTGCCGTTTATGGACAAATAATGTTACGAAACCCATAGAAATTTAAACAAAATTGATACACATTATTAAAATCTCCATAAAATATCCGATAATTTGATGTGCATAAGTCTAATGATCATTTTTGACCGCCAAATAGCATTCTTTTTTACTTTTTTTTACTAGATCTCCGAAACCCCTGGATCTGCCTTTCCAAAAAGGATCAGCTCTTCACTTCGTCTATACGAATAAAATAATTTTTGAATTATTAGAATCGGACGCTCCGTTCTCTTAAAAACGGAGTTACCCTTTTTGGGACTTTTTGCCCCGTATCTTTGGAACGGCTAGACCTGCTTTTGCCAAAAACTAATCAGCACGTCTCCTTATCAATACGAATCGAATGTTTTTTGAATTATTCAAATCGGTTGATTGGTGTTCCCGTCACACACACACGCATTCATCTATTTTTTCTATAGTATGCCAAAATGTTCAGAAACCCTTGAAACGTAATAACGATATATACGATATATAAAAATTTTCATTTAAGATTTTTTTGCGATTACTATAACTTACCCTACGGGAAGAATTAATAGGACAAACGCTTTAAAATAAAAGTGAAATCAATCAATAATCTTCATATCGCATTATTTTTCATTCAATTTGCTACTAATTAAAGTTAACTAAAGCTGGTTATTTTTAACCATTTTAAAGTTAATCAAATATAATAACATTTATTCGATAAAGAACATATAATATCAGAGCACTGCTTTGCCCTAATCATTGAGGAATTTGAGGTGATACATAAAAATAATATTAATTTCAATTAAACGTTCCTAGAGCAAGTGAAGGACCTAATATTTACATAATATTTTAACACCAAAAATTTTCGTACATGCATATCTAATGCTTTAGAATCGACTTGATTACCATGCCTAAAAGGGTCAAAATATAAAGAGCATTCAAATCAATACGATAATAAGGGTCTTATATTCAAACAATATCATATTTCGCAATAAACTGCCCGAAGGGACAATGGGTCCAATCGATGTGTCAACCGTAAAGCTAATAATTGCCTGGAAAGGACGCCCACTCCGGTCGTGGGTTTCGAAATGGATCCATTACGGTACTGTACTCTTTAGCGACAATGAGTATTGATGCTGAGGGCACCATAAGCTGCAGAATTGGTATGTACATAATATGCTTTGTTCATCTAACCATGTAGCCCCTTGTATTGTGTATCGAGTCACTTGGGAATTTCGTTATTTGCCTACGCGATCTGTTTACTCAAAACACAGTAGAGGAGTTGAGTATTGGTCTTTTACGAGAGAATGAATTGATCTTAAATGTCCCCGATTGGCAAGACGATTCACGTTGAAATGGTTAAAACTAGAAATATTGAAAAATTATTGTATAATAAAATATCTGAAAATTGGTTTAAGAAGTAAACCTGACCAACGAAGAATTCATTCGGTAGTAATCAAATCAAAATAATATAATTAACAACAGGCTAACGCTAAAGCAGTTGTGCAAATATATATTTAAAACTAAAATTTAGAAATAATGAGATAAAATTTTAAAATTGCCACAATTTCATGATTCATTTTATTAACTTGTATTAACCACACATGATCACCATATCAGTCATATATGTCTGCCGCCAATAAGTTCTACATTAGTCTCTGATATTCCTGATCTGGTAGATCCACGATTTCCTGACATCTGGCCACGTTAATGGCAGATGTCAGGCCCAAACGATACATGTATGCTGCGGAAGTGGCCTAATAGGTACTAAACTTAAAAATTCTTAGCTCACATAAAAACAAAAAAGCAGCAAATAATGATCAAAATGAAAGAATTTGATTGGCTACTGCGTATAAAGTCTAAGCTCTCTGTTGAAAATAAGTTGCTGCTATATAAATCAATCATTAAACCAATCTGGACTTACGGAATTGAGCTCTGGGGATGTGCTTACAAATCGAACATAGCTATAATGCAGAGAACTCAGTCAAAAATTTTAAGTACAATACTTAATTCTCCGTGGTACGTTACAAATGAAACCATTCACAGCGATCTCAACATGAAAAAGGGTGCAATTAACGTTCAAAGAATTAGGAAAAATACAAACGTAAACTGGAATCACATTCAAACCCATCAATAGGCGACATTATCCAACCATTTAGTGTTAGAAGATTGAAACGTCAATGGCCTTTAGATTTAGGCTTCTTAGATTAGCTTCAATATATCATTATCTTTATAATTGTTAAACTAAGAAGATCTCATTGGAGCTCTTCTTAGACATCGCTCTCAAATATTGTCAAATTTAGCTTATAGGAATTTTTATGTATTTCTGATTGCTGACTAAAACAGAGTTAAAAAAAAAAAAAAAAAATAAGACTGACAGGACTTGTCGAGAAAAAAAATTAATATAGGGTCATGTCAGTATGTATGACATAAAAAATTGTGTTTTTTCATGCACTTTTGCCATTTTTTCGGTACATTAGGTTTTCTTAATGCATTTTTTAAGTTACCATGGCCCATGTGTTATTTGTTCTAATATTATCGTGACAGTTAACGTGCTAATTTTATTTCCGAGGGCTCCTTGACTTTTGGGTTAGCTAGCTGTCGGCCATTACGTTCGACACACGTTTATATATTAATAATGCCATTACATTATACCGTTTATCGCTATTGATTCACAGAATGCCGTAATGTATGCACAGGCTGCCTATGATATTATTGGATCTTGTTTGCTTATTTGCATGTTGCTTATTAATAGCGACTAATTACGTATGCTACGGGTGCTAATTCCCTTTTCATGACATCGTACTGACAGTTGACCTGGTGTGAGATAAATTATAACATGGCTTATGAAATTATTAAATGGCGACAAGTTAATATTGTGGAATTGATACTTTGAGAAAAAAAAGATAATAAGGCTATCATCGCCAATTTCTGATCACTATTATTCCAAAACCTAATAATTTAGGAGCAAAGTTTTTATTTAAAATTTTTATATACTTTGTTATATAGTTTAACAAGAAATTACTATTTATAAACACTAAAATTTAATATAGATAATTTCGTTCTCCATTATCGAAAAAAGTCGTTCCCAACGTAAGAAATTAAGTGACTGGAATTTGTAAACTTTACCGTACGTTGCGCAGTAAATACAATACTTAACACTTAAATAAAATATAACAATATTTTTATAAGAGTGTAATATGGTTAAAAGAAGGATAATTGGACAGAGCTTTTCTTTGGTCCAGTGTGCTTTGAGATGCACATCTGACTAAAAATTTCTTAAGCAAAATTTCAGCAAAATGCCCAATTAAATTAATTTATTTTTCACTCCAATCATTATAGTTCAATTCTTTTTAATGTATGAACTAGAACGACATTTTTATCTTTATTATAATAAAAAATGGAATGTGATAATTAAAAAAACAGCAACAAAAACTAGTTGCTCCTGCTATAACGACATTCAGAATATATTAGTATAGCATAGATAAGTTGAAAGATGAGCAAAACATATTACTTACTAAACAAACTAATAAAAGTTAAAATCGAATTAAGTATACACATTTTTTGAAGGAGAAAATAATTTATTCTATTTTTCGATAGTTTACCATTATGATTTTTTTTTAGATGACGCAGAAGTCTAAATTGTTTAATGTTGCCAGGCGACCTGGGCTTTTCAACCTGATATAAATTGAAAGTTATATAATCCATTTATACCGCACAAATTATTTTTAACTTCCCGTGGGGTAGTTATAGTAATGGGCCGAAAATCGAAAATGGAAATTTTTGAATTTCTTGACGTTTTGAAGGTTTCTAAAAATTTTGGCATATCTCAGATAAGATGGATGTTGTGTGTGTGTTTTGTATGTCCGCATTTTTTCGTCCACGTTTTTGGGCGCACGGATCAACCGATTTGAATGGTTAAAATTCGATTTCTCTTGATAGGGAGATGTGCTGATTAGTTTTTGGCACAGGCAG